AACAACTTTTACCTGATTCCAAAATGTGCCCATAATGACAGGAGAACACACGTTCAGAGGCAAACAATTGTTTTCACTAATTCATCTAGCCTGTACAGATCATATATAGAAATCGAAGCAATGTTTTTCCCGAATAAATTTAAAAAAAGGCCATTGGCGTTATGTAAAATGTCTGCTGCATTGACATATCAGCATCAGTCACTTTATGTGAATTACAGATGGACATTACATATGTTTATGGGGTATGGGGACAAACATGTTCAAAGGCGAGTCATGCAACTTGTTCACGGGACAGCGTAACTAGTTTACCAACACTTTCTTTTAATTCCGAATACAGAAGAGTAGAAATGGTTAGCAAATGGGCGAGGATAATCTGTTAGTGTGTGTGTTTCAGTAGGTATAAGGCGGAGAGGAAAAATTCAAACACGTGGACATGCGAAAAAAGGAAGTTAACAAACCGATTAAACAATACGGACGATTATCATCAACAAAGTTGGAATTCATTATCTTTTTCTTTCCTTCTACACTCACTAGCCCTCCAACTCGGTCGGCATGCTTCCGATTATCCCCAAGATACGCGCCCTCCCAATCGACCCAGTCACCTCCGTTTTCCTTTCGGTCCAGTGTATTTCATGAGTTTTGGATGAATTCTGTCTTCTTTTCCGTTCCAAATCATGGTTACTCTTTCGACCCCAGCAATTATCGAGAAATCTCTGACCCGTTACTTTTATCCTTTTCATGAACGAGCTACTTTCCTTGATCTCTATCTCATGCATTCGCTGATAATGCTACCATAAACTGTTCGTTTTCTTATCTCTCGTCCCGCTGCCACCAACAGTGATAGCTATTGCTGTGCCCTCACAAACACCGTTTAAAAAATGGTTGCATCACGCTGATCCATGTAGTACTTATTTTCCTAAAAAAATTGTCTACTCGAATTTTGTGAGTAGCCGAATTATGAATCATGGTTTGAGTTGCTCAAGGTGCAAACAGACAAAAACCGTCTAGCTTGGCGTGATTGTTAGTTACCATTATTATTTAAGAAAATACAGTCTTTAGAGAATGAATGGTTTTCAATGTATTGTCACACTTAGTTTGCATTTCATGCCGTTTTTTGTTTTATGGTGGTGTTGATTCCTCATGAGTCTCCAATTGCATCATTCAAAGAGATATTGAAATCATTGTCCATTTTTATACTTCAGTCCGAAAATTGACTCCTCGATCCGTTTCGATCGTGGGTGTATATTCTTGTGGATGATCATGAAAGTGGCATTCAACTGTGGACTGTGTGTTGGGTTAGAAAATAGATTCTCGACCCTAATGAACTGTTTGCTCTTGAATTGACGGAAGTGCGAGATTTAACATCACACTCATGGTCATCTGATGTGCTTTTAGATTACTCGCCTCTAGAACCACAGTTAGAAATCTCCTTCGGATTTCAATGGTAATGAGGCCGAGGAGATGTATTATTCATTCTATCATCAAAGTGCAATCCAATGTTACTTTTGGAGTTTTAGTAATAACACATCGATTTTTGTTTGCTTCATTTTGGTTCGCAAGAAAAATACGCTCCATTTTGCCATTATTTCCCCCAAAAATCAAATCAACTACTAACAAAAAAGCAAATAAACTTACGCTGCACTGATCCATTTTTACCTATAACACGTGAATTTCATCTTTTATCGCTTTTACTCCGCAATTTTTGACGTGTAAACACAGAAAAAATGGAATGCCTAGATGCGGTGAGAAGAAACAAGACACAGAATCCAAGTTTCGTATTTTACCGTCTTCAGGTGTATGAAATGGCTATCCACATTGTACTCAGACGAGCAGTAGGAACGCGTTCCATTCGGGATTCTGTGAAACAGTTGTACAAGTTCACACATTAGTGCAGGTCAACTCTAGTCCTTGTATTGTAAGGTACTACTCCTGTTTGTGAATAGTGTGCGCACACAAAGAAGCGGTTTTACACGGCATCTTCCAATGGATTATGGGATTTATTATTGGTACTACAGAAGACACAAACCGACTGTCAGGTTGATAATCACCTACGAAGACACGATCGCCAAATTACTAACCAATTGTTGCAAATTTAATGTTTCTTTGTATGTAATCTTGTTTACCTCTATCCGATGCTGTTCTTTGATTATATGACTCTCCTCTAACCTCCACCGGACTTTTGGAATTGTAACATTTGTCCCTGGATCATACTGAAGAGTGCTAGTAGTTTGTTGCTTGCTTTGTGTCTCCAGTCACTGTATACTATATACTATACTATTTACTGAGTAATAGGCCACTGTGCGTTTCTGATGTCGCCTTCTATCTGCATTGGACGCGGAAAACTAGACTGTCTTATGTATCATTTCATGCGACTTCCTAAAACTTGCTACTTTTGGACGTAGGTCACATGACTTGCAGCCCGTTCGATGGGAATAACAAGAAAATTTTAGTTACTTTTACCAGTCGACGTTCTCCAACAATTTCCATTGACCGTTGAGGTAAAATGTGCTTTAGAATGAGTCCTGTGAAACCTTATCCTTATCTTTTTGTTCATGTTTTTTAAAGGGAACTAAATCAATTTTCTATCCACTTAACTTCTGTATGGGACTTTTTGACCACCGTCCAAGATTACCTAATTTATCATTGTGTAAAGTTTACAACCTTTTTTGCTATCCTGTTTACTTTTTATCCCTCTATCAGTTGGTGGAATCAGAACAGTTGGGCCCAAACATGATACTCGGTTTGTTTCGACGAGCCAGACAGCAAATGAAAAAACCCAAAGTCAGTTTGCCTGGTGCATTGGAAGAGCAATTACCTTCATGCACGTCCGTATTGCCTCCTCATGCTGTGGCTTGGTCCCTATCCTCTGGTATGCAGACACTGACCAATGCATTGTACTATCGCCTACGTGATCATGGGGCACATTCTACCGTGCATGTGAATTCCCCGGTCTCAAAAATTCACCCGGCCAGTGAAGACCGTCTGCATGTGGATTGGATATCAGAGAATACTAGCGCAGCCCGAATCCAGGATGTAACTGCAGTGTTTCTTTGCTGTCCGTCTTTCCAGGCTGCCAACATTCTCGGGGACATGCTGAAACCGGATGTTGTTGCACGTCTGGAGAAATCTCATTTGCCTTGGGCCAATGTGGCTGTTGCAGCGCTGGAGCTTGAAAGTCCTGCACTCCCCCCGGTTCGTGCGTTTGGTCATTTGGTCCCCAGACCAGTGGATGAACATGTGCTTGGCGTAATCTACGATTCGGTCGCTTTTCCTCAACTGGATAGTCCGCATGGTTTTGTTCGTTACACAGTCATGATGAAACCTTACACGAGGTGGTTGGATATGAACGCTACCGAGCCGCAGCTTGTTTCCAAAGAACTCGAGGCGAAAGCAGTTGATGTCTTGCGAGAGCATTTGGGTCTGACAGATCCGCGTGTCGTCGACCGCCATGTGGGCATCTATCGAGACTGTATACCACAATATCCGCTCGGTCATTTGGATAACATTAAGACACTACGTGAGGAACTCAAAGTACATGGTGCAAATCGTGTGCATTTGGTCGGCTATTCGTACG